CCCTCCCCCCCCGTCTTCATCCTAGCCTCTTATTTGGCTTGCTAAGGCAGTTCATTGCAAGCAGTTACTTTCACAATGAAAAAGCAGCATTTTCTAACTGTGCACACTTGGAACTTTATCTGCCTTAAACTTACAAGAGCCTGGTAGGAAATGTATTTTGAAAACAGGTAAATACTCTTTATGGGCTGTAGCATTGTATGAAAAACAATGTTACTGTAGCTATCTGAATGTGGAGATGTCTGAAATTACAGTGAACTGGAATTATGTCCTCAAAGTCTGATTCTTGAGCACAAAAAAGGATTCCTTTTGCTTCCTTTATTTGACCCATATATGACATGCCTATATGGGCAAGGACCCCTGTCAATATCTGGACAGGTAGAGTTCACCTGCCTGTTTAATGCCCTTCTGTCTTCTCTGGGAAGATTGACAGTCACTGCTTTTTTTTCATGATCAGTTACAAAACTGTTCTTTCTTTTTCTGTTTGGATAGTACTCTTAGTGGCTGATTAGAAGTGGGTGATAGCTGAAGCTTCTTAATGAAGTTCAGGAGGCTTCATGGTCTCTTTTGATGCTACATTCTCCTGAAAACAATGAATTTTATATTTTGCTAACATAATTGATGGAGTCATTACCACAACAGATTTACAGGCTCCAAGAAAAATCTTGCTGCTTTTCAGATAGAGTTCTATAAAAGGATGATACTCAAGACTTCTGGCTACCATATACCATATCATCTACTCCTGTCACTAGAAATGCAGATTACATGGGCCCATGGCATGCTCAGGGGTTCTGTGACATCTCTGGCCACTAAAATGACTGTCTCCTAGGGCAGGTCATTTTGCTTTTTGCCAGAAATGCTAAGAGATGGATGTTTGGGGCAGAATTGCACACTCTTCCATGTTATTGGCTACCATGCCATCATGGCCTGATGCACAGTCTAGGCTGGGGCTGGAAATTTTTGCTGGATCATCTGCCTGAGTGACAAAGAACAGCAAAAGCCAGTTTGCCAACGATCAATTTCTAGTGGTGATCTTTCTGCTTCTTAGGAAGCATCAGGTATGTTCGAAAACTGATACTGACACTACTTTGTGCTGTGCTTTGAAGCTTAAATCAGTGACCTAGTCATTTGGAGTCAAGGAAAGGGGATAGTTTTCCACTTTAAGTGTTTGTTTTGCAGAACAGCAAATGCAACGCTGGAGAAAATGGATAATAAATTTTGCCACTTAATAATTGGGATGGTCTCATTGACTCTTTAACTTTGATACCAGATGGATGTCATTGCGCTTAGTTATACACATGCTACAACCATAGCTTCTAAACATCCTCAGTGCAATGTAAAAGTATATATTTACGCTGGTAAATTCACTTAAAAGCTTAAAGCACCTTTCCACCAACAACTTTTCATTCTACATTCCCTCTTCACCTCTGTTCTTACTGGTTTGGGAGAAAAGGTGAACTTTGCAGCATGCCCTGAAGGTCCAAATTCTAGTCAGATCAGCTTTAGGCATTGCTCTTACCAAAGTTTAGGCTAGCAGAGGCAAGTACAAGTGTGATACGCAGAGGACATTTTGAAGGATTATAATGGATGCTTTGCAAATTTATATTCCTGTGTTATGTTTTCTTGTAGTGTTACTGGCACTATACTTCTTGCTTTTGGTGTTTTCTCTGCCACTTGCTGAGGCAACACTATGAAGCAAAAGGAAAGCATGTTAGATACCAAAACAATTGGAATTACAGCTTGCACAAGCTCTAATATGAATGACTGTGTAACTGATACTGGGTTGGGACCAACAGATGCTTAGGACATCGGCGCAGTTAAACTCTATTCTTGTAAAGAAAATGAGAAATGTATGCAAGTTTTGTGAGATTCGCAAAAATATTGACTGTTCTGTTTGTTTGCCCAGCAATTTTTACTAATTAATAAGCTCTTCCCTCCTCTTTCCTCTTCTCCCCATGCTGTTGAATTGAAACTACTGATGACGACTATAAAACAGAGGCCAAGTTGAGTTTTCTCATGAACATGATAATGATAGCTGCTTGTTCTAGAGAGCACCTGGGGAAGATTCACAAACCTAGCTGTGAACTGAATCTCTCCTGTTGAGCTGCTCTTCCCAAAAATGTGTTTGGAGTTTTCACTTGCTCTTTATCTTGGGAAGGCTCCTGAATGCCTTGAAATTCCTACTGCATAAGAAAATGGCATTTCAGTGGGAATCTCAGGTTTAACCAAGGCATGTTCCTTTCCTTCCAATCTTACCCTGCAGAACTGAGCAAATCTTTAGCTTATCTGGCTTCACCTTTTTTCCCACTCCCCTCTTCAGTCTCCTTATCGTTTCTTGTCTTTGATTGTTACATGAAGACAGAAAAGCTTAGAATCCTCACTTACATTCATTCTTCTCTCCTTATTGTAGTGAAAGTGACCTGGAGGAAGTGCTGACCTTTTACACACACAAGAACAAGTCAGCAAGTGTCTTCCTAGGAACAAACTCCACAAACGCAAAACCCAGCAGCACCAGTAACCAGTCAGAAAAACAGCCTCAAGGGGGTAAGTGTTACAGGCAGATCTGAGATGATGTTGTCCAGATAAATCCAGTTTAACTTCAGTCTATGGAAAAAGAACAACCCCTCCAGAACGTTATTCAGGTTTCTTGAGATTGCTTTTTTTAACTGACTCTGTATGTGAAGATTAGACTAACTGCACTCCTACCTTCTTTGCCTGAAGTGAAATGGGTGAAATCTGGACTAGCATTTGTAAGGAATTGTATATAATGGTGCATGACTGAAATGAGAAAGTGCCTTCAGTTTGCACAAAGATTTGAAATGAACAGAGAATCCCAAAACCAAAGGAAGTGATGAGAGAAATCAAGGCCTGTTAAATTGTGCTGCCTAAAGTGAGCGTACCCATTGTAGGACAGAGTCTTTTTTTTGAGCCTAATTAGGTGTTCCATGGAAGAAAGTACAGTGCCAGCCATACATATCTGGTAGTCCATGCTATTGTACATGATAGCACAATTGTGATCAATGGAGTTGCATGGTCTACAGTAAATATTAGCAAGAAAGCCCATTGTAACAAGGTTTAAATTCTGCAGTCCTGTTCTAATGATATCACAGTTTGCGTTGTTCTACTTCCTAACTCCTTGGTTTTGTTATAGAGCATCCCGAGGTGATGAAAAAAATAAAAGGTGATCAGCCCAAAAGTTCAGTTGCAGATCTGCCTGCAGAAGGAGCATCAAAAGGCTATAAACCCAAAGAAGTTAAATCAACCTGTAAGTGAACTGGCTTAAATCATCATCAGGAAAAAAATGATGAGTGCATATACTGTTTTTAATACTGGTTTAAACAGAGGTTGGAAGCTTTGGGTTCAAACTGAGAGATTCAAATGTCCAATTTTGAGGAAGATTCTGCAGGTTTTTCTTTTAAACCCAAGAGAAGATACAGTAGAGTGAGCAGTCTGAAAGAGCTGCTCTTCTGTGGGGGAAGGTCTGGATATGGCAACCTTTGAAAGAGGATAGTTGTAATGTAGAGCCTCTTCTTGTCTTTGCTGGTAGATGAGGTCATTTTGGCTTCAGTGTGTCTGAGTAGAGGCATCTTTGGTGTGTTGATATTATCCAAAGGACCTGAAAAGCAGCTTTTTCTCATATAGTGTGCTCATTATCTTTGTGTAGTTCCAGAAGCACCCACCTTCTCCTTAAATGCTGAAGTGAAATTACCTCGGTGCGGCCCTCCTAGCGCTTCTTCCTGTGTTTCTGGTGCCACATTCCAGAGAAGTACCAGTTCCTGGATACCATCTCAGCCTGCAGCCTCTGAAAATTCACAGGTGCCTCGTCACCATTCATTGCCAGCTCCTCCAGTTGGTCCCAGGCTGATTCAGTCCTCATCCCTACTACCCTCCTCACAGAGCACTGCTCCTGACAGCTCTTCTGTCTTCACAAACCCAGTGTCCAGTGAGGCTTCTAGCCTTGCAGGATTACATCGTAGTCATTCTGGTAGCTACACCATTGGCCCATTCTCATCTTTTCAGAGAGCTGCTCAGATCTACAGCCAAAGATTGTCCCGACCATCATCTGCAAAAGTAGGTGAGTATTCTGGGTTGCATAATAACCTGCTAGTTCAGTATAGAGACTGTGTAATCTCTGTTCTGGAGTAGGTAGAAATTTTACATTTCCAGAATTATGATTCTTGTTGAATGGTGCTAAATTTATTACAGAAAGGAGGAGTGAAGGAAGCGGCCCTTGTTTGCCAAAGATGCCCTTTTATTGAGCAAATGAACAGGGAATCATAGAATCGTTTGGTTGGAAAACACTCTTAAGAGTCCAACCATTAATGTAGCACTGCCAAGTCCACCACTAAACCATGTCCCTAAGCACCTCATCCACCCGTCTTTTAAATATCTCCAGGGATGGGGAGTCAACCACTTCCCTGGGCAGCCTGTTCCAATGCTTGACAGCCCTTTTGGCGAAGAAACTTTTCCTGCTATCCAACCTGAACCTCCCCTGGTGCAACTTGAGGCTGTTTGCTCTCATTCTATCGCTTGTTACCTGGGAGACTGACACCCACCTTGCTACAACCTCCTTGCAGGTAGTTGTAGAGAATAAGGTCTCCCCTGAGCCTCGAACTTTGAACTCAGCCGTTGAACTTCTTCAAAAAGAGCTGGGAAATGAAATGTGTATTTTCACTCGATTGTATTGCTGATCTTTTGTTTATCTTAAGTGATTTTAATGTAGTTTTCGTTAGCAGAAGTGCTGTTCTTAGTTCTGTGTTTCTCTATAATGCAGAGAAATCCTTTAACAAAACCTCATAATTGTTGAATACTTAAAGGTGTGTCAAGACCTCCAAAAAAAGAAATATCTGAACGAATCATTACTGTATCTAATTCTCTGGGACCTTTCAGTGCTGCCATATCCAAGAATACCTTAACAAGATCTAGAGACCTCTCATTTATCCTTCTGCTGTAGAACATAGTTGAGCAATGCAACTTTAGAGTCTAAGGAATCTGAAGGGTAGAAGAAACTGGAGGAATTCTATGGATGCAGACTGTAATCTATTAGGAAAGTTTTGGGAACCGCACACAGGCTAACAGCTGTGGTCCTGATAATAGATATGTATATATTTTTTAATTATGGTATACATTTGCTTTAGGTTGTATGTCAGGATCAGTACATGTTCACTAGGGTTGCTGTATATACATCGACAACCTTTCTAGCATTAAAATAAATCTGACTTCCCAGCTGAGTAGCTTATTTAAAGGCATCCATTTCTTTTTAAGGAAAGACACAGATTTAACTTGGGTAATAGCAGCCAGTGTTCTCTGGAATGGGGTGGAATTAGACAAATTATGATAAAGAGAACATGGGTTTGGAATTGACAAACTCAATGGGCAATACCCATGCAGAATAGAAGGCTGTATTCTCCCTAGAATCTGCAGAGAGTATCATACTTGCTTTTGTGCAAGTGATCAGCAGGCTGAGAGTCTGACATACCACTCACTGAGCATATCCAAATATTTGTTTGGTAGGTTTGTGCCATCACAGTCCAAGTGGGCAGCGTGTGGGCTCAACCAGGATGCACAAAGATGCAGAAGATACTTCTTCCCAGGGCAAACGTTATAGTCCCAGTGTGGTAGCAGCGGAACTGCAGCAGCTGGCAGAAAAGCAAGCAGCCTGTCAGTATTCCCCACCAAGCCACATGACTATCCTTACACAGCAGGTATGTAAGCAATGAAGCTGGAGTCCCTGTAACAACAGAGAAGTCTGTCGTGGGTTTCTGTGTCAGCACTGGGCTGGGCTGAGACATGCTGGAAGGAGTTAATCTTACGAAAATAGATTTCTGTCATATTGTTGTTTTAAAGTTTACAGTGACCAGAATTCTGATATTCTGTGAGATGACAAGAACATTGCTAAAGTCCTTTTAAGAAGAAAATGGGACCAGGCAGAGGATTAGAAAATATGTTATAAAAAAACCCAATCCATGCTTGGTTGTCTTAAACAGTAAAACCAAGTCTTCTCAGATTTGTGCTTCCATGTGACTTCTTTCCTCATTCCTCCAGTGTGTCATCACAGTGCTGGGAATGGAAGTCTGCAGAATGGGTTCTGATGTAAATTCTATATTCCAATAACATTGCAAAGATATATTGAAGTACTTACTAGCGTGGGATATGATAATCCTTTTGCTAAACATGGTGGTATAGATCAAATTTACATTGGCTTCTGGTAGAATTCCACTTAGTTTCATGTTTCTTTTTGAGTTATAATGTCCTAAATGGCTACATACATAGTCGTTTTTCTTTATAATATGCTATAGTTGTGTTCATCAAAGGAGTTCAAGTTGGACACTTCTCAGTTAATTAAGCTGCCAACTGGAGGTTCTCCAGGATAGGCACTTTGCCTTGGCAATTAATTTTTTCCCTCTTTGCTTGCTAGGGACAAACAGTTTAAATATCTTCGCTCTGATACTTTGATTTGGAAGTATTGTTTTAACAGTGATGTTTTGCTGAGTTTTCTGACACATGTTTAATAGTTGCAATAGCTGCTGCTATTTGCTTCTTTTTGCTTCTTTCAATTTTATTGTTATATGTTTGGAATTTAGGTATCTGGTTAGATTACTGGCAATATATCTCTTTCAAGAGGTGGGGTGCATTTATAACTCTAAGAAGCTGAATGGATTTTTGGACCCTTCTACATCTAGTTTGAGGTTTTGATCCAGTCTGGGCAGTTCCAAAACTAACATGGGCACTCTGGTCTTTGTAGATAGGTTTTGAGCTTTAGAGGATAAGTCACAAAACCAAAGCATCTTCTTGTTGATGGACTCAGCAGAGAATGTGAGCACTGAATATACCAGTGATGCTGAGGCCTGATCTTGTGTCAGGCCAAACCCTCCTTAGAGAACTTGGTCTTTCAAAGCCTGAAGTGGTATATGGAATATCAGGAGAAGGGACTCACAAGTCAATGAACAGTTCAGAGCTGGAGCTCTGTCTGACAATGAATTTCCTTCCTGAACCCGTGTCCATTCAGATCTAGACATCTGCTCTCTACTGTGATTCTTCAGGCTGTATTTCTGCAATAATACCTTTGCAGAAATGAAATCTGAAGCTTAGTATGAAAATTTGGGTGGCTTAGTTGAGGACAGTTTTTCTTTTAAGCCAATCTGATTCTTCAGTACTGAATTTATGGCATATAGTAATTTCTAAGCTGAGACTATTATTTTAATCATACCTGAAACAGTGATGTTTTGGAAGGTTCATATGTAACTGCAAGGCCCAAAGGAAGATGCCTAAAGCATATGGCTGCTACTTGCACTTTTTTTTTCCTGGACATGTTCTACTCTTCTGTCATCTAAGAGTCATTCTGATTATTTTTTTGACCCACCCTGGCTTTTAAAGTCTGTCTTCCCACAGAACTAAAACTCTTGGTCCTTGTTGCAAGACAAGGCTTGCCATGACAATGAAGGGTGACAAGAGGTATCAGCATGCAATAGAAGCATAATAGTATTGCAGCAAGTGCCTGTACAGGCCCAACTGGAGGAGCCAAGCAAGAATTGGGCTCATTGTTGAGGGACCTGGAACCAGGACATCTGGCGTTGAGCCATTAGGTATGCATGTGGATTAGAAGCAAGGGGATTGAATGAATGGAAGTGCAGGCATTGCAGAGTAGGCTGACAGTTTGGAAAGTGATTTGCAGAAGGATAGATATTGGTGAAACTATTTGTGAGTGCTGCATGGTTATAGCTTTGGGCAGATTTGGATGGAAGATAGGGGCAGAAGAGAAAGAGGCACATGTGGGAGAGGATTTGGTAAAGAGGTGGAGAGAAGTGAGAAGTCAAAGACCATTAGTACGGGCTGAAAGGGGGAAAGACTTGAGATGGAAGTGTTTGGGGACTCTGGGTTCATAGAATCATAGAATGCTTTGGGTTGGAAGGGACCTTTAGAGGTCATCTAGTTAACCGCCCTGCAGTGAGTAGGGACATCTTTAACTAGATCAGATCGCTCAGAGCCCCATCCAACCTGACCTTGAATGTTTCTAGAGATGGGGCATCTATCACCTCTCTGGGCAACCTGTTCCAGTGTTTCACTACCCTCACTGTAAAAAAATTTCTTCTTTATATCCAGTCTAAATCTACACCTCTTTAGTTTAAAACCATTACCCCTTGTCCTGTCACAGCAGGTCTTGCTAAAATGATTGTCACCATCAGGGGGGCTCAGTGGCTTTGAGAGAAGGTTAAAGGTAGGGCTTGTATGAGGGTAATTTAGGTAAACAGGACACTACTTTCCTATGCGTTTCTAGAGAGGAGACTCTGAATTGTTATTTTCCCCCTTTTCACTCCTCTGTTTAAGCCACTTGAAATATAATAGTCGTTTTAAAGTAAAAGCATTCTAAAATAAATTGGCATGAAGGCAGCCCCTGGAAGAGAACATTACTTAGCTAAATAATAAAAATAGTACAATTGTTTAAAGCCCCTCCAGAAACTTGGAGTTAGTCTACCTTGTTGTAATGTAGCTGGCTAGTATGAAAGGGACTTGATATTTGGATATAATTATGTTTAATGGCAAGATTAGGAATATTGATTTGGAGGGTGTGTCTGAAAGAGAGACCTTTGAAAATGCTACTATTGGCATGGACTGTGTTTCTTTTCCAAGAGCAAGAACGTCTGTATGAGAGTTGAATGCATTTGTCTGTGCCTTGGTTCCCTGCGTTGTGCCCAGCTGTGTCTTGGGGGCGGGGGTACTCTGAATACATTACCTCCCTCCAAGAGCAGCTGGGAAGCTTGTTTTCCATTCCCATTCTTGTGAGAATTGCTTCTGGTATCTGTGTAGTGGTGTGGGACTCTGGGGTTCCCAGGAATGTAGCCATAACAGCTGTGCTTGGAAGGATATTGCCATTCTGGTTGGGAGTCCACCTCTGTCACTCTCCAATCCCTGCTATTTTTCACTGTTTCCTACCCACGTCCAAAGCACCTGTTTCATGTTTTCTCTCTTATACTCTTGTATTCTACCCTTTGTATTAAATCAGTTCAATTTATTAAGCCAATTGGTTGCTGAAATGACAATGTTCAAAGGGAAAAATTTTAAGTGTAAGTATCTGATGAGCTTTGAACAAGATATTTAAAGTGTCATCTTAAGAAAACAATATTTTTGTGATTACATCAGCTTTGTCTTGTCAGTCCTCTCCATTCACTTCTGAACTACCAGCTGGGAACTTCACAGTGATACTCATAATGTGAACAGTTCTTAGAACATGGGAGGCGGAGGTGGTAGGAAGGTGAAGCTTTACGGATGTGTGGTTTCATTGCCTTGTACACAGTTTTCAGTTCTCACAGACTCTCACAAGTGTTTGCCTTTCATTAATTTGTATTTTTGAAAAATATTTTCCATTATATCGTATAAAATTTCATCAGTGCATCTTCATGCTTGCACCATGGAGAAAACAAAGGTGCCTTCACAGTGGTATACAATAGAAATACTGATCTAGAACCTGTAAGAATTGTTACTTAATACCCTGCATCACTGTGATGCCTTACTGGTTGGTTGCAGGAATGAGAAAGAGAGATGAATAGAGGGAAAAGAGGAGCAATATTATTCTATCTTGGACTAGAGAAGGAGCAGCTGTTTGGGTACCTTCTGTAACTGTCTGTAATGGTAATTGCAGGAAGGATGTTGCCTTAAGGACACACCGGAGTACGACACTCTCAGGTTATGAAAGATAGATACTCAGCATTACAAATTAATAAATAAAGTGAATCATAGAATGGTTGGAGTTGGAAGGGACTTTAAAGATCATCTAGTTCCAAACCCCCTGCCATGGGCAGGGACACCTTCCAGGTTGCTCAAAGCCCCATTCAACCTGTCCCTGAACACTTTCAGGGATGGGGCATCCACAGCTTCGCTGGGCAACCTGTTCCAGTGCCTTGCCACCCTCATAGTGAAGAATTTCTTCCTATATCTAATCTAAATCTACCCTCTTTAAGTTCAGAGCCATTATCCCTTGTTCTATCACTACATGCCCTTGTAAAAAGTCCCTCTCCAGCTTTCTTGTAGGCCCCTTCAGGTACTGGAAGGCTGCTACAAGGTCTCCCCAAAGCCTTCTCTTCTCCAGGCTGAACAACCCCAACTCTCTCCGCCTGTCTTCATAGGAGAGGTGGTCCAGCCCTGTGATCATCTTTGTGGCCCTCCTCTGGACCTGCTCCAACAGGTCCATGTCCTTCTCATGTTGGGGGCCCCAGAGCTGAATGCAGTACTTCAGGTGGGGTCTCAAGAGCAGAGTAGATGGGGAGAATTACCTCCCTTGACCTGCTGGTCGCACTTCTTTGATGCAGTCCAGGATATGGTTGGCTTTCTGGGCTGCAAGCACACACTGCTGGGTTATTTTGAGCTTCTCATCAACCAGCACCCCCCAGGTCCTTCTCCTCAAGGCTGCTCTCAATCCATTCTCCACCCAGCCTGTATTTGTGCTTGGGATTGCCCTGACACATGTGCAGGACCTTGCACTTGGCCTTGTTGAACTTCATGAGATTTGCACAGGCCCACCTCTCAAGCCTGTCAAGGTCCCTCTGGATGGCATCCCTTCTCTCCAGCACGTCAACTGCACCACACAGCTTGGTGTCCTCTGCAAACTTGCTGAGGGTGCTCTCAGTCCCCCGTCCATGTCACCGATAAAGATGTTAAACAGTACTGTCCCAACACCAACCCCTGAGGAATGCCACTTGTCACTGGT